CTACCAGCGTTCGTCTATATGGTACTAAATCCATAGCTACCAAGGTTTATCTATACATTACTAAATCCATAGCTACCTAGGTTCATCTTTCGTCTCATACTCAAACTCATCCGTCATCACACACCAACTAATTCATCTACCCATGTTCTACCCAACATATTTGTAGATATAACATACATATACAATTTAACTCATTTAAAACCTATATAAAACATCCATTCCACGCTTATTTCAAATAAACGACAATATATAAACACATAACACATATATCGTAGCAAATACTTAATACTTATGTGTTAGAAGAAAGTAACTATACACTCACACCAAACATATACTTAATACATTCAAACAATACTTGTATTAAAATCGTGTTTATGAAAGGGACTATACACCCACGCATATAAACAACTTTATATTATACACATAACACATATTTCATAGCAAATACTTACTATTTATGTGTTAGAAGAAAGTGACCACACACTCACACGTATAAACAATATATATATATATATATATATACACACACACACACACACATCACGTATTTTATAACATACTTCATATCTATGTGTAAGATGAAAGTGACTATACACTCACTTGATCAGAAGATGATCGGACAACACTACGACTTGTAGAAGTAGTATTCTTCGGTGAAACCGGGATCACTTCACACACCGGGTTTCTCGCGGGCAGAGCTTTGGCTCGGAAACTCTTCTCTTCTCGGGATCTTCGGGCTTCGACACTTGCTTCGGGTCTCGGGGTTGATACCGGGGCTTCGGGGGTACTTCTTTGCATGTAAATCGAGGTAATATGGGTGAGAGATGAGAGAATGAGCAACCAAACTCGGTTGACCCTTCAAATCTATTTATAGGGCAAAACTGGCCCTTGCCACGTCGTGGGCTTGGTCGTCACTGCATGCGTCATCTCAAGTTGCATCTGGGAGACTCCTGGAGGTGTCTGAAGACTAGCCACATCATGGCACTGCTTGCCACGTCGTGGTATCTGACAGTTTTTGGGTTTTGCGCCCTGAACTTCAGAAATTCATAACTTTCGCATACGAACTCCGTTTTCGACGTTCTTTATATCGACGCGAATGTGAGATTATGCTCTACAACTCTCGTTTAGACTCCATTGGCTAATTTTGACTTTATTTTTAATATATTATAATTATATTACTTATATATTATTTTTAGTAGGCCGGGACAAGAAAACTTCGTTATAAACTCATAACTCCTTCGTCTAACGCCCGTCTTTCCGTCATTGCACTACTATCGATGAGATATTCAATTCTCATTTAGATTGTTTTGGATAAATATCGATCTAACGTAACTTCACTATTTACGTCGCATTGTGTCGTGCCGGTTCTGTCGCGAAACTTCGACAGGTCATAACTTCTTCGTTATAACTCGGATTTCGACGTTCTTTATATATTCGGAAACCTCGTAACATATACTATAACTTAGTTAAGATTAATACTTCTAAATAATATTCCATCAAAAAGTCATTTTTGATGATTATCGTCTCTAAATTGACTAGCCCGGATCTTCGAGCGTTACATAATACACGTTAAAACACCAATAACATAAGTAAACTTTGCTAACAGCTTTCATCAGAAAAGTTGGACTCCATTCACGGACTGTTTTGGACAACTTAAACATTTTAGGTTTTTAAACTGTATTAGGTGCAAATAGTTCAAGTTCTTAGCTTTAAAATGACTACTTGCACATCTCCATATTATTTTTCTACAATTTATGGTGATTTTTACAAAACTGCGTATCATTTCAAACATCAATCCGGACCAGTTTGTGATTATGGACGTTTTCACATAAGTTTGAGATCATTAAAATTCATAATAAAATTTATGAACAAACTAGACTCATTTTCCAAACTATTAGAATTTACGGATTCTGATTTGGACCTTTGATGATTTTTCTATAAATTTTCTAAGAACAGTAAAAGAAAATGTTAACAACAGAAAAATACTATCAATTTCATTTCACCTTGTAACATGTTGAGGAAGGTGTATATCTTTATGTGAATATATGTTTTTGCAAATAGATGACATTTTGCCTTAGTTTATATTCATACATCAGAAAACAAATGAATTTTCTTTTTACCAACAAAAGTATGGTAATTAATTAGTAGTTATATTGCATGTTGCTTCACTTTAGCAAAAGTGTATATACATATCGGTAAACAAAAGGGCTTTTACCTTCACAAATACAGTTGTTAACCATAATAATCAAAGTTATAACTATTACATTTAAACGTTTTGATAAACAATAATCAAACATGTTTCCATTAACTCAACAAACAGAAAAAGGTTTTACACTCACGCACACTACCCGTAAACTTATTAACTTAAATGGTGAGATATTCATCTCAGTACTCCTAGAGTACGATTTAAAATTCCTGGTAGTTATAACCAGAGTATCTTGTAGGGAGAACGTCATAGTTGTGTATAGATCTATATTGGGTTTCACACCCCACACCTTACTGCTAACTACAGTAGGACCTGCAGGTCTATGGGTGACAAATGTCAACAGTTTTCGACGCCTGAGAAACGTCGTGGCAGGTTCATTCTGTCATAGTATGGTTATAGCGGCTCACATAGGGAGTTAACAACACATAAAGTTTATGGGAAATTTCATAAATCAAAAGGGGTTTTATATCGATTTAAAATTACTTTTTATATCAATAATTACAGACATTATTGTATACTTTAAGCCCTGGTATTTAAGACTACACACCATTCATTACGGGATTTTTCTCAAATCAGAAAGGGTTTTACGCCAATTTAAAACCACTCTAATATCTTTAAGCATGACAAATACTTGTTCATTTTCGGTCCCGGCATTTAGGACCACATAACTTTTATAAGGAAAATATTGGATTTTTCTTGGTAACACACCACACATTACAAAGAACGGTTTCCAAACTCTTTATCTAAAAAGCTTATGAACTCACCAACTTAATTGTTGACACTCTTTCAAAATTACTTGTATTCTCAGGAAATCAACGAAACCAAGTAACCACAAGCTTTTGAGGATTGAACACCGAAAGACATGAGAAAATGTTTTTTTTTTTTTTTTTTTTTCTTTTTTGTTTTAGTGTCAAAACTATCAATCCATACGACTACAAAGAAAAACAAACTTTTTAGATTCAACTTATTGCACTCCTATTCAAGCATATTGCTCAAAGGTATTTTTTATAATATGAAATTGAAAGTTAGAAAATGAGATTTTTCCTTTAAATAAGTGGACCAATGATTAATCATGTTTTCATAAGTAGGGTTGTAAGTGAATTGAACGAACACGAACAAAACTGAACGAGGGTCTGTTCATGTTCGTTCATTTAAGTTAGCTGAACAAACAAACGAACACGAACAAATAAACGAACAAGTTTTATTATTCATATTTGTTCGTTTAACAAATTACATTGTTTGTGTTCGTTTGTTTATGTTCGTGAACATGGTAACCAAACATAAATGAACAAAGATAATTGAAAATATATGAACATATAATATAGTAATGTAATAAAATATGATTATCGATATATAAACATAGAATAAACTTATATGAACGAACATAAACAACCATAATATAAGTTTAACTAAATGAACGAGAATTTTTGTTAATGTTTGTTCATTTATTAAATAAACAAACATAAACGAACTTCCCGCCAAAAGGATCATAAATAATTCGTTGTACGTTCAGTTCGTTTACAACCTACTCATAGGGCCTATTTCACAATCATTTCTTGTGAAATTTATGATTAGTTTGAATAAACTTAATTTTTTTTATCTAAATTTCAACAAATAATTAATTTCTATTAATTAAAACCACATATTTACTCGTACGTCTTGTTCCTGAGTTCCATTTAAGGAGAGAAATGGGAGAATATGGAGGGAAAGTGAGAGGTGTCGAAGGAAAATCGTGTTCCTGAGTTTCATTAATGGAAGGAAAGTGAAGGGAGGAGGAGAATTTTAAAGGCATATTTTCATTCAAAATTTCCTCCCAAATTGGGCGGATTTGGAAAGAAAGTGAGAGGAAAGAAAATTTTAAGTTTTATTTTCTTTTTCCTGTTAACTCGGGAACACAAAAACTAAAAAATGTTCTTTCCTTTCCTTTCATTTCTTTTGAACTCGGGAACACAGAATAATGAATATTTTCCATTCACATCCCTTTCTTTCTGTCAAAATTTCCTTCTCTTTCCTTTAATGAATTTTCATAAAAACTCGGGAACAAGGCATAAGTGCCACATACTTAACACTTTGGAGAAATTTAATTCCCAAATCACAACCAAATATATTATAATTTCCACATAACCATATTTAAATTAAAGAAAATACTTCAGCGTTGCAACTTGCACCCACGTTGGAGGTAAGGTGCTTTGTCCGTCAAAGATTCTACCAAAGAATTTGGCACCTACAAAATTTTAGGAATATCAATATATCACGATCCATTTCTTGATGTTGCTAAAAAAAAAAAAAAAAACCAATCATTCAAACTTTTTAAGGTTAAAAAAGATTATGATTCTTTAACCATTAGTATAAATTTTTGATTCGTTGAGAAGCTATGTCAAATACACTGAATAGAGAACTAATATAAATAGTTTTATTTAGGGATTTTTAAAACATCCTCTTACCGACAAAATATGAAATGTGAAACCCATATATTACACGGGTTGATTTAAAAAAAATTAAATATTAAAGTGTAAATATAATTTTTTTTTAATGTATAACTTTAAAATAAAGAAGATACATATTTATTGCAATTTAATATTATATGATATTTAATACTTTACATATATAAGTATATAATTTTAATTTTAAAAAATTGAAATAAACCAAAAATTAACAAGTGAATAATATTTATTTCAAAAATACCACAAAATGATAATTATCAAAATTAATGAGAGGTTGATATGTGGCAAATAAAGAGGATTTATTTATTTATTATTCAGAAATAAGAATCCATAATTGTTTTTCAAGAAGATGATGACATAATTGTTTTTCAAGAAATAAGAATCCATAATTGTTTTTCAAGAAGATGATGACATTCCAAGAAGATGATGACTTTCCCTCCCCCTCTTTCTCACTTATCCACGAATTTGACACGTTCATCGTCTTTTCCTTTTCTCCACGTGTGTGACATCTTTCTCTGCAATAAACTTTAAAATAAATGTCGACAACATGCACGCTATCCCGACCTAACGCCTTCAATTCGCCATTGTTTTCTGTACCCACTTCCAAAAACTTCCGCTCTCATTCCAATCTCGATTCTGTACTCCCCTCGTTCAAGAATCCCCCCGATTTCACAGATTTCGATCACTCAAATCTCTAGGTTTGCATTCTCCCCTTTTCATCGCTAATTTTTCTTCACTGTTTTCGTTTGATCTATGATTGTTTTGCTTTCTATTATGAAGGAAACTGAAAGCAGATCCTTTAGGAAAAAACCAGTCACCCTTCGTAAATATTGAATAATGTCTAGGGTTTGATGTATGTGTTTCGTTATTTTCGCAATTTGGTTATTTGATCCCTTTACCCGTTGACATCACTCGGCGAAATTAACGCAATTGATCTCATTGTTCCCTAAATTAGAATCAATTCTGGATTTTTTTTTTTAATATTCAAACTTCTGTAATTTTAAACTAGAAATTGAAGTACGTGATCTTTGTTTCCTTTTATTTGAAATGATTCCATTGTAATGCTTGTTCTCAACAGTTGAATCTACTTACCGTTTCCTTGTAATATATTCACCACCAAAATTTCTTGTCGATTTATAAATCATGAAGTAATCCAGTTGACTTTAAAAGTCATATTTGGGCTTTTAAGGAATTGGGGAGATGATTTTTTCTATGTTTGATTCCACACATTGTGTTTAGAATATGCAAAAGTTTTTGTGACGAAATTTACTCGATTTGTGTAGTATCTGATATTAATTGGAAGTTGGAACTCTACCATCTGGACAAAGCGCAATTGGGTGTTTTACTTTTAGAAACAATATTGGTTCAATCTTGTTATTGTAGAAGACTCAAAAAACCACATTTTGAATTCATACTTGTTGCTTAATTATGCTATTGAAATGCATGTATAATCATGTATCATGTATGACCATGTTTTCTTTCACTTTTTTTAATCTTTTGTGACATTTGCTCAATATGCTAACCAGGTTACTAAATTCCATAGTTTGCGATCAAAGAAAATGTCTTCCCCTAGCAAGAGGAGAGAAATGGATGTCATGAAGTTGTAAGTCTTGTTTCTCATGATTATATAAGAGGGCATTCATGTCTTTTTACAGTAGCAAGTCTCTATCCAATATTGTTTCACCTTTCTGGATAGTGGGACACATTGACATCGGTTTTAGTCCTTTTTGCTAATGGCCCTAGACACATACATCTTGTTTTGTGATTTCATGTCCACTATCATGATATTATGTTTGAATTCAGGATGATGAGCGATTACATCGTGGATACACCAAATGATAGGCTTAATGAATTTAGTGTGGAATTTCATGGGCCAAAAGAAAGTGTGCTTCTTACCTTGCTTCCCCTATTTTTTAAAACATTCGAATTGGATTGGATGTTTGAGCTCTAACTTTTCGAGTTGTTAGGTTTTTATGAGGGTGGTGTGTGGAAAGTTCGTGTTGAGCTGCCGGATGCATATCCATACAAGTCTCCTTCAATTGGATTCGTGAACAAAATCTTCCACCCTAATGTCGACGAGCTGTGAGTACATAATACGTGATTAAAAGTTAATTCAAGCATTATTAATGGAAGCAAAAGCAAAAACGACTTCAAAAATGGTGAACAAATCCTTTTATGTGTTAGGTTTTTTATGATCTTGATACTTGACATTCTTGTTATTGTCCGTTTTTAATCGAAATTACAGGTCTGGATCGGTTTGCTTGGATGTCATAAACCAGTCATGGAGTCCAATGTTCGGTATTAAATCCTTCTTTTTGCATTAGTCAATAGGAAAGTAGGAACCAGTGAACCACCCATACATGTTGAAGTTTTTCTGATTCGTTCTTAATTTGCACAGATCTTTTAAACATTTTCGAAGTCTTTCTTCCTCAGCTCTTGTTATACCCAAATCCATCGGATCCACTCAATGGAGATGCTGCTTCATTGATGATGAAGGACAAGAAGCAGTACGAAGAAAAAGTTAAAGGTCGTATTCCTTGATTATAACATAAAATTCCAACACTAATAGATATTTTATCGTCGATCTTTGTGATTAACATTGGTTCTATTTAACAGAGTACTGTGAGCGTTACGCAAAGAACAATGGCAAATCCGTAGCTGAAGAAGATGACAGCGGTGAGGATGAAATCAGTGACGGACAGTACACTTCCAGCGATGATGAAATTCCAGGTCGTGCAGATTTATAAGCGATTGGTGTTAATCTGTTAGGGTTTGTAGTTGTGTTTTAACGATTGTATAACTATAATCCTATTTCAACTCCCGATTGTAAAACTTGTACAATTTACCAAAACCTGCAAATGTTTACAGTATTACGAATTCAAATGTAGTTATACTTCCTTCTTTGTTCTTGCAATTGGTTTGTTTTTTGTGCTAAAAGCAAACAGATAGCCTGCATAGACCAAGCCAAGATTAGTATATTGATCACAAATGTCAAAAAGCCGGCCACTGTATTCCATTTTGACCATTTCCAGCCGGCTAATCTTGTAACTTGTAAGTTGTTCATCTTCACTCCACTTCAACTTCAAACCTTCTTTACATCTATCTTGCTGAATTCATTCCGCTACATTTTCAATCCAAAAATGGATCAAATTAGATCCAATTTATTTGTTCCGTTTTTGTTATTTTTACTTTTTTCATCAGTAAGAACAGAAGATCAAAGTGTAATTCAGGCACTGGTCACATTCATGGATAAACTCGCGCCAATTCAAACCACCACAAATTGGGGATGGAACATTTCGTCGGACCCATGCACAAGTAAATGGGTCGGGGTTACTTGCGATGGAAGCAACATAACTGTAAAAAAAATCGTCCTCGAGAATCTTAATCTATCGGGAACACTCGATCCCGGTTCACTTTGTAAGGTGAGTAATCTTCTTGTACTTAGTCTCAACTTCAACAACCTCACCGGAATATTGTCGCCGGAGATTTCAAACTGTAATCGTCTCACCCATTTCTACCTCACCGGAAACCGTTTTTCCGGCAATCTCCCCGATTCCATTACAAACTTACAGAATGTGAAACGGATTGTGATATCCAACAACGATTTCTCCGGTGACTTACCGGATTTTTCAAGAACCACAAGTTTGTTAACGTTCTTAGCACAGAACAACCAGTTGACCGGTCAACTTCCGGGCTTCAATTATAATCAATTACAAGATTTCAACGTTGCAAATAACAATTTCACCGGTCCGGTTCCCGATGACACGGGTCGATTCGATGGCAACAGCTTCGCGGGTAACCCGGGGTTATGCGGGAAAGTGTTGCCCCGATCGTGTCCGGTGAAAAAGAAAGAAAAAGAGTCAAAATTACGGGATTTTTTTATTTACTCCGGGTATGCAGTCCTTGGGTTTTTAGTTGTTGTTCTAGTCGCAATCATGTTACTCAAGAGAAAGAAGAGGGGGCAAAATGAAAAGACGGATTTGTCCCCGAAGAACAGTTCACGAAGCGGGCGATCAAGTGAATCGAGAAATAGCAAGAGGTCGGAATTCTCGTTGACATCGGTTGAAAATGGCGGGGTTTCTACTTCGATGGTGGTTCTATCGAGTCCGGTCGGGAACGGGCTGAGATTTGAAGATCTGCTTCGTGCACCGGCTGAATTGATTTCAAGGGGTAATAATGGAAGTTTGTATAAAGTGAAACCAGAGGGTGGGGTTTCTCTTGTTGTTAAAAGGATAAAGAATTGGAAGATTTCGAAAGATGAATTCAAGAAAAGAATGCAGAAAATTGATGAAATAAAACATTCAAACGTGTTACCAGTTGTTGCTTATTACTCTTCAAAACACGAAAAGCTTCTTGTTTATGAGTATCAGCAAAATGGCAGTCTCTTTAGACTTCTCCATGGTGAGTTCTCAAATTTACTTCATTTTTTTCTTTCTACCATTCACCATTATTGCAGGAAGAATAATCTTTTTACAGAAAATAATTTTTTAACAAAATTTTAAATAACTTTTTAATTTGTTGTTTTAGGATCACAAAACGGGCAAATTTTTGATTGGGGTAGCCGGTTAAGTCTCGCGTCTAGTGTAGCCGCGGCATTGGCATTCATGCATCGGGAGCTTGAAGCCGACTTGATCGCGCACGGAAACGTAAAGTCATCGAACATTTTGCTAAAAGACGACATGGAGCCGAGTGTGAGCGAGTATGGGCTAATGCCAGCAAATCATCAGGACCCAGGTCCCAGTGATCAGGACCCGGGCCCAAGCAAGACCCAAAAACGCACAACCACCGGAAATTTCATGGGTGATGTGTACGGGTTTGGTGTGGTTCTGCTTGAGTTGCTGACTGGGAAGCCGGTTCAGGATGATGGGTTGGGTTTGGTAACGTGGGTGAGGGCTGTGGTTCAAGAAGAATGGACAGGGGAGGTTTTTGACAAGGCGTTGATAGTTGAAGGGGCTAATGAAGAAAGGATGATTAGGTTGTTGCATGTGGCGTTAAATTGTATTAATGGTTCACGAGAGGCGAGACCGATGATGGGTGAGGTGGCGACGATGATATTGGCTTTGAAGGAAGAAGAAGAGCGGTCTATGACCTCTTCTGACCCGTGATGATTGTTAATTAGATAAAATTTACGAGCATATTTAATTGTTGTATAAAACTGAAAAACATTGAATTATTTAATTTCACGAGTTAAAAAATCTCATTGGGGATTACCCAACAATAACCACCATATAAACCAAATTGATTTATCTCGTAGATGTTTATTGGATGTGTATTATGAGAGTGATTATCTGATTATTTAAGAGTTTAGTAATGTGTTGTATAATGTAAGTCAAGAACAAGCAAGTACAAAAGAAAGTTTATCAAATTGATTTCTTGATACTTTATAAAACGGAGTGCATGTCAAAATGTATATTTTAGACATGTATATTTATTAGGAAAGCGTTATTAAATGATTTATTTAAACAAAAGTTGTGTTTTAGAAATCATTAAAGGTTTATGAATGATATTTGTATACATATGCATTATATGGTTACCTACATGAAGGTAGGTAGGTTGTACCCACCACAATGGAATGAGTTATTCTATTACCTAATAATTTGTGTAGTCCCCACTCCCCACTGTTGAAGTAAGATTAGTCACATTACTAGTCATATTTCGTGACATGATAATTCATATTATGATGCAAATGTTGTGTATGGAATGGGGAACAAAAAAACATGATGATAGGTCGAAGGAGGAAGAGAAGACGCTAAATCTTTCCAACGTGGGTGTTTTCTCTATTGCTGATCTATATAAGTTAATTATATAAGAACGAACTGAGGGTGCCTAGTTACTGGTGGAGTTTATGTCTCCGGAGGCATCAGAATTTTAAAAGCATTTCGGGATACTATCGTTGTTTCTTGAGTTGAAGTTACATTCAAAACGTTTTGTGATGAACAAAAGATTGGTTTGGATAGAGATTGAAGGGGTTCTACTATGTGAGTTGACTCTAAACTCTTAAAAAAGTAGCATCTACATGGCAAATTGTCTTGATCTTATTGGCGAAAGGTGATTGTTATTATTGAAGATGTGAGTTACATTGTTCAGGGAAAGGAAATAGTCAATCAGCCAAAGATTGAGGGTTCAAGTTGTTAAAATTATAGGTTTAATGACACTTGGAAATCTGAGCATCGTGATATTCACTTTCTAATCGAAGTATTTAGATGGTACTCCCAAATTCTCAATTGGATAAGACTCAAATTAAATCAGAGAAAAAGAAAGAGAATGAGAGGATATGATTTCGTGAGTACCAGAAAAGAGACCAAAAACTGAATTTAGATCTTTGTCTGAAAACTGTCATGTGACAGTTTAAAACTGTCACAAAACCACCAGAATGGTCATAAAACGCAGCTCGATCCCAGCCAGGAGCTGCCGCCCCTTGGACTCTGATCACATGAGCGTTGCCCCCGGACCCCCGTTCGTTTAGGGGCTTCGCCCCTAAATGACAGTGTATTTTGATACTTGATCAAACTTAAACAAGTTTGTACTCCACACCTTTCTTATTTGTTTAATATTTATCAAGATCACTTTTGATCAACAAAATAATCTCATTACAGTTAAATAACATTGATGATAACAAATCACCAACACAAGTCTTACTGAAGACAAAAGTTGTAGATTTATGAGTAAGATAGTGGATGTATGTTAGCATCTTTTAGACATGTAAAAAAAACAAATGGCATATGGTTATTTTCGGAAGATGACTTGGAGAATGATAGGAGAGTCATGATAAAGGGGAAGATTACAGGTTGGAAGAACGTTTTCCAAACTCGTTCAAGAAGATAGTGCATGATCAAGGCAAATTCATGTTTGTATGACAAATGTGATGATTGCACCTCACCCTAACATGCTAACACATTTACATTTGTACTTAAAAGGCAACAGGCCAACAACTTACGCTTTGCAATTTTTTATTTTAGTTCCCGGTTTATTATTTTATTTTCTTCCTTAAGAACAATAAATGGTTTAAGTACAAATGTAAATGTGTTATCCGTTGAAGTGTATCCGTTGAAGTGCATATTGATATACTACATAAATGGAAGAGTCGATTAAAACGGCTAACATTTCTTTAAGGACAGATAACTCTGATTTTGTAATGCTTTTAATTATATGAATTTACTTTCATCATACTTAAAGCTTATAATAGTAATTTCTTTAATTCCCCCACCCCCACCCCACAATTGTTATAAATTTATTTAAGTATAAATAAATAATTATCTATGAGGTATTTGAAATCAAATTAATCATTATAACTTGTATTGTTGTTTCTGAAAATGATGGTGGCGATCGACATGGTTAGGATATTAACAAGGAATATTCCTAAACGTTGCTTCGTATTATTACAGGTTACAACATAATATATGCTAATGGCAATGCCAACACTCCATTGCCAGGTGCCATCGGTTGCAATCAATAAGCAACAGACGCACAAAACGACAATAGAAAGCTATAAAGGATTTGTACATTTATTCATTATATTGAAAACGAACATACTTCAAGTTTAACTACAGAAATCGCCTAAAATACATACAAAGATAAACTACAGATATCAGCAAAGTCTAACAAAGGAGAAGAAACGTAATGGAAATGTGTAGAAGCCTATAGAAGGAGCCATAGCCATGGAGGATTAATCATAAAAACAAATTTTTAATTCAAGAACACCTATGAAGTACAGCCGTTCACGTAATCTTACACCTTTCACTGTCCCTTCCTTGGGTTTATTCTATTCACAAACAGGCCCCATCCACACGTACTAATCGAAAATTGAAAAAAAAAAAAAAAAAAAAAAAAAAAATCTTACCAAAATGATCTAGCGATCCAGATTTAAAAAAGTTCTAATTAAATTCAATCAAACCGGTGATAATTGAACGCTAATCATACGAAATTCGGTCCGATTGCTTCCTTACCGAGATCAGTCGATGGTTTAGAAGTTATTGGAACCGTCGGCCGTGATGCGTACCTTGAGGAGAAGTTGCGGACCATATAATCGTTCTCCATTTCAGAATCTCCGTTATCCAACGCTCCTTCGTCGAAATTAAGCGCATAATCTAGAGGATCGTACTGAAACTTGGGCGATTGTCGACCAAAACTTTTGTTACGATTAAACCGGCGTATGAATGTCTTCCATCTTGGACCTGCAACGATCTCTGACCACTCCCGAATCTTCATCAAGGCGTCGATCCCTCGTGACCATAGACTTCTTTCGGAATTGTACTCCGAAGACGACGAACGTACTTTCTGCCACTGGTAGGGTATGCAGAAACAACAACGGCGACTGGAATATAGAAATTCTGATGGAGAAGGTAAGTCATGGTTTGATCCGGTAGTATCTCTAGGAGAAAATTCAGTCGCCATCGAAACACATGAAGGAGGGTGAGTAAGGTTTTGAGTGTTCTGGAAAGTGAAACCCCTTTTCTTATGTGCGTGAAGAGAAAACGCCCACTGTATTTTATAGACAGGCAAAGGGAACAAATATACAAAACAACAAACATAATATAACAAGATTTTAAGTTGAGCCAAATTCTTTACTCGATTTTCATTTTTCAGTTTCAAAGTTTATGTTAATTTCGAAATGAAAAATCTATTGTCTCCACTATTTAATATTTTATATGTTTTAAAAAAGTATATAAATAATTAATTTGTTAAATTACGTTATTATGATAATAATATGTATTTGTTTAAAAGTTTTCAAAAATTATAAATACTGTGAGCATCTTTCAATCCCATTTTAACAAAAAAATATGTATTATCTAAACTTGCTATAGATAAAAGGTTCAGCGAGTCTAGATTGCTATATTTACTTTAGAAAAGGTATTGTGCTTTTTACCAAGCTTAAGTTTACTTAATAAATTATTACAAAAAATAAACTGAATTCTAGATCATTTCTAATAAGTAATCTATAGACAACTAGAACACTTATTTTTATCTATTTTGAAGTCTACAAATGATTAACATATACAATATGATTAAAATATATCGTTACAATTACTCAACGTCTCGAATAATACTATTTTGGAGATTTTATATTATATGGATATACATGAAATTCCTACGTTCAACCAATTTGACCTATATCATTTTAATTACATCTTTAAATTTAATCAATTTGATCAATTAAAAAATAAAATATAAGTAACTTTTTTTTAGCGATCATGTAAGAATCAACATCAACCATGATTAAGGTAACACCTCAATCAAGGAGGGCCTATCTCCTTTTTTAATCTAACACTATTATTATTCATGAATTGTTTTATTAGGTACGAGTTGTTCCTTCATATTGGTCCCCAAAGCAGTTTTTTTATTTATCGATAATTATAAATTTTGTATTAAATAATACATAGAATTGAAGTATGTACAACTAGCCAGACCATTTAAATCTACACAAAATATTATTATACAAATGACAACTTAAGATTCTTCGAGAGATAAGTTGTCTATTTCATCACTACCTAGACTAGTCTTGTTCATATACTTGAAAATTATATGAAGATAAAGAAGTCATATCTCATGATAGTATATTATTCTCAAATGAATTACCATGATTGTCAACGACCACAAAAGGACAAAAAGACATAGAAGGTTTTAATGAGGAGATATTATCCAACTGTCATCCTTCTTGATCTACAAAAATCTTAATCTTAAATCTAAAATGTGCGAATAAAGAAGTGAATATGGAAGTCAATTTCAATATATTTCTAATTACTAAACCTTTTTACACCAATTTCGATTAGACACTAAATTAACCTTTTATAGCATTTTTGCCTTTAATTTGGCAATGACTTTTACCAAGGGTGACATGGCTTCCTTTTGAAGCCTTGGGTCAATACAATCCACATCAGCATATGAAAATGAAGTCAATTGAATAGCTGAGAGAGGAGACGATCAAACCAATGTTAGAAATTGGGGACTTAAGAATATCAATATATTTAAATATTTTTGGATCGTGATTGCAATCACTTTTTAAAATATGTGATTTCGGCCCTATAGATAGGGGTATCACGAAATCAGATGTAGGATAATCCAAAGAATTTCAATTTAAAAGTCATATCACTTCTAAATCAGATAAACAAAAAAAATATCGTGTTGTTTGTGTTATTGAGAGATAGAACAAATCTTAAAATCCAAATTTGAGAGTATACATGTAACATTCCGGAATCGCAAGAGTAGAGTTGAAGGGCTAAAAGTGTAAGTTTTAGAGGATGACTCGGCGAGTCCATGGATAGACTCGACGAGTCAGGTCGCGGTCATGGTCGCGTGTCTAGTGGCCTACTCGGCGAGTCCTAAGGATGGACTCGGCGAGTAGGTGCTGTATGGAGAAAACCCTAATTTCCGGGGTTGAGCCCTATATAAGGAGCATTATACCCCTCCACAGCCTCCCTTATTCCCCCCTTGAGTTCCAGAAACCCTAAATTCGTGGAGAGATCATTTGTGGAGCAAATTAGAGCTTGGAGAGGTGTTGTTTGAAGAGATCTTGAAGGAGAAGTGGCTTGGATCAAAGGGCTTTGCTTGGATTCGAGTTTGGCTGCTATTGAGGCATCTTTTGGAGGTAATATCTTCGTCCTTAGGCTGTGCATTCCTAGTTTCATCATTTTGGGGTTTGTGGGGAGTATGTCTTGGAATGTTTTGGAGTTTGGAGGATAGATCTGAGGTTGCTACCTCAGATCTGGAATATTGAAGGCCTAGAGTGCATTAAAGTTCCTATGTTTGAGTGCTTAGTGAAGCCACCATGTCCCAAACCTTGGTTTTAAGGTGAATATGGCTTAGATCTCGTTAGATTCACGTAAAGTTTGCCACTTTACGTGATGGATGGATTGTAGGAGGTTGGATCTATGTTTTGGATTAATTGCATGGCATGAGATGCTTCTGTATGGATTCAGAACGGTGGTACTCGACGAGTCACATGGGTGGACTCGACGAGTTGCTTGAAGATGGCCTGGGACTCGACGAGTTGGAAGAACAACTCGGCGAGTAGGTTGAAGATGGCCTTGGACTCGACGAGTCCATTTGGACTCGGCGAGTCTTGTCGATAAAGTCCCAATATTTCTGGTTGAGTCGATGAATCGGTGAGTCAAGGGATGACTCAGTGAGTTGGGTGCGAGTGGACTCAGAGTTGTTGGACTCGACGAGTCTTGGGGTGACTCGGCGAGTTGGGTCGCTGCTTGAAGGAAGATCTGAGCATATGGACTCGGCGGGTCATCGGGTTGACTCGGCGAGTAGGGTCAGTCAGGGGTTGACTTTGACTTGTCCATGGTTGACCAGTTGTCTTCCAGGGGTATTTTGGTAATTAAGGGTATTTATTGAGTTGTATGTTTTGAAGTTCGTGTCAGATTTCGGAGCAGCGGGATCTTATCTTTTCAGCCGACAGTTTCGAGGTGAGTTATCCTCACTATATCAACAGGGTCTAAGGCACCAAGGCCGGCCCTTTATTGTATTGAGATTCGGTTATGGTTATTATGTTATTGTTTGATGTGTCTGCATCCTGGTAGCTAGGATGGTACATGCTAGGAGGCCTTGCTAAGGTCAGTTTTCCCGATATACAGAGTGATGCTATGCTAGTGACCGGTTAGGTCGGTAACCCGGTTAGGGTAATGATATGCTATGTAATCTGCTTGCTCGGTTTGTTGACTATGACTGTTATATGAATGTATGTTTTGTGCACATGGTTGTTTGGACTAGAGATGGGTTGAGGCGGGTCCTGCTTTGTGCTGTAGGCCAAGATACCCAGGGCGGACCGGTTGTTCCGAAGGCCCAGCGAGCGGTCCGGATAGGCTGTAGGCCCCACGAGGGCGGACCAGACATGCCGAGGCTCGGAGAGTGGACCAGGCCGACTGAAGGCCCGATGCGGGCGGACCAGTCACACTGTAGACTCGGAGAGTGGACCAGGTGGGTTGAAGGCCCGATGCGGGCGGACCAACCCCACTGTAGACTCGAAGGACATGACTAGACCTGGAGGATGGATCCGTTGGACTGAAGGCCCGATACGGCGGACCAGTCACACGGTGGACCCGATATGCATGGCTGTTCTATGTTCTGTTATGTTATGTATGTTTTATATGTTTTGGACCGGAAGGTCGTAGCCTGGAAGGGCGTATACGTGGTTGGTATTTTGGGGGTATCTCACTAAGCTTTCGGGCTTACAGTTGTGGTTTAATGTTTTTCAGGTTCTTCAGGAGACTGTGGCAAGGCGAAGGCGCGATCGTACCGCTCCTCATGATTTTGTAGCAATGTGATTCTGGGAATACTTAATGACTTGTATTGAAAACCTTTTTGTAAACACTTTAATGAAAATCAGGTTGTTTTGAAAAATTTAAATTGGTTGTATTTTTCGGATGTTACAATACGGTTTGTAACTCATTTTCTAGAACATGAAGAATGTCCTTATACTATAGGGAAAAGTGGTTATGACGGTTGCCTCCAGATTTAGCGTAAAAAATGATGGTTATTAGATAGAAGTAACGCTTGCATCATCAAGATGTCATCAAGTGAGATTTAATGGGAAAATGCATGGCTGGTGTTATACTTGATGTAATAATTCATTTAGGTTTCAGGACGTTGCATCTTGAAACCCCGTTCACTGACCGGTCAGCTGGATATTATTGTAATGAAATGCTTAGGTTGAATATTAACAATAAAGTTGTAGATTTTATATACATGGTTTGTTCTATTATTGATGATTCTTGTTCCATGTGGTTTGGGTGATCTGCACATCTGGTATCTAATTCTTTTTTTTTTCAACTCGGAAGGTTCCTAAGATGTATTTTTGTTTCATCATTGGTACTCCCAAATCTAAAAGACAATATTTTCGATTCTTAATTCTTTTTTAATTTCATAGTTATTTATATCTTTTTTATTTATTAAAACCAAATTTCTATTGTAGCTAATTTAAAATTTTCTTAGCCCATAAAACCCCTAGCAACCACAACACACACACAGGCACCCATCGTTACAACCGGAGATGGAAGCATACCTCAAATTTCTACCACAACCTTCTACAACCATCACAAATAATTATTTATTTCTAGTGATTTTCGACAGTGTAATCGGTGGATTGGTAGTTGTCATCAACGACCAATAGATCCATGGGTGGCTCAACCGGTTTGGAGGCTCTAAGCGAATTAAAATTTTGGGGCCATTTGTCGTTGCTATACTTAATGTTATAAATTAAACCATCATCATTTTCCAAATCCAACTTGACACAATGAATATTTTAATTTTTTTTAACCCTAATAGATAGTCTGATCGCAAAAAAAGAAAGAAAAATCAATCAAGACAATTCTACAATCTACATCAAAGTTCAAAAAATAGTTTTCTTCATTCTTTTGTGCAGAAAATACTACCATCAAACAAATTTCTATTTTCTACATCAAACAAAACTTCATCAAGTAACAAAATTTATGGATTATCATAGATAATAGATTATTGACTATCACAAATTCACAATCATAGATAATCAGCAATGGAGAATGGACTAATTGAGTTATCAGTTGATATTGTCATATGTATACATATTTTTAGGCAATATTTGAATACGTTTTGATTTATATTTTGGTTATTTGCATAGATAAATAGTACTTACAAGATTAAAGTTGTAATTTGCAGCAAAAAAAAAAGGATGCTTGAAAAACAATGACTAAAAGTGACAAGAGATTGAAATTTGAAGGCTTAGAGAATCAAAGAAAAAAAGAAAACCACGTAAACAACTGAAGTCATGTCATGGACTTCTCTTACACGATATGACATGGAAAATTCTGGAAGATGAGTACACGGAAAGTCGAAATCCTTGCCCGATAAGGATTCATCCCAAGCCACGACGTGGAGTTTAAATTCTCGAAAAATATATAAATCCTTGGTGCTTACGTGTTTAAGAGGTTGGCTGGAGATTAGAAGTTCCAGAAGACGAATTTCAGAGAGAATTAAGCGAGAAATCAACGAGAATTGTCATAATTAATAGTCAAACCATTGAGAGAGTTCAAACTAATAGAAATGTTTTTAATATTTTATTGAATTGTGTTTGAGAATTTAAGATTGTCTAAACTTGTAAAATTAGATAAAAAAATCATTTTTCTTTTGTTAGAAATTTTAGATTAATTTAATAGTAAGTAGATTAAATAATTATTTTTTTTCTCTGTGTTCGATACCCGACTTTTGTTCTATACTATTTGTGAATGGTACATTGTTGTGGGTCAAATAGCTAGTACGAGAGTAGGTAAAATTAGGTGTAGCTATTTGCACGTATCATCAGTTATGGTGAAACTGAGAAGCAGAGGAAGAACCGAAGAAGAACAATAAAACATATCTTTTCAGAATTCAATCTCTCAAGTTTTAGGATTCAGGACAAGAATCACCAAATCAGTTGAGCTAATCTGACACTTGACATCCTTTTCAAAAAGAAAAATCAATTAACTTATCAAAAATCGCTAGGAAGAAGATTAGAAGAAGAATAAAGAATCAGAGAAGTAATGGTATCTACGGTTCTGAGTAAAATCAAGAATGAAATCATTAATCGGTTAATCAGATTCAAAGGATAGAGAAAGAAAAAGAAGTAAAGAATTGTTGTTGAGTTGCAGTTTCTACCGAATGGTTTCTGCTGATGTGCGTGAATGAAGAATCCGAATAAACAATCCTCTAATTTAATTTTGCGTTAAGGGGGCCCTAAGCAAGGGATTATTTTTTCTAACTTTAAGGTCGGCCCTGCATAGATCAGTTCTCTTTCTTGAAAGCACTCTTCCTACGAAAACAATCGAAGGTTTCCAGTTGTGATCTAGTGGTTTATAATATTTTCCAGTGATTTCGACTATGTAGTCAATGGATCACCAATATCGACAACGATCCAGTGTCAATTCTCTTTTTTAGAAAGCTCTCTTCCCATATACAACCATTTCATCGTAGCAACAATAGGCAAAAAATAACGCATTTGACAAGTTCCTTTTGCCATAAAGTTTTTAATGACTTATTTATAGATCTACGATACAAATTTTATGAAAGAGCACTAATTTCGTATCAAATGTACAATGTCGTTTCTTCTTCATACCGCAGATGACCGATTTGTAGATATATGATTGCTTTTTTCTCTAACATGGATCAAATTTTGTAATCGATGAATGTGTGATTTGTTGGAGACATTACACAAATGAAATAACTTGATCGGTCCTGTAAATATACAAAATCAATGGTGGCCATGTTTGGAGAAGATATTGTTGTCAGTGATATCTTGTCGGAGTAGATGCCGACAACAGCTTGTCGAAGAAGATTAATATAGCTAGAGCTTTCTAAGCGAGGGAAAGAAAAATAGGAAGGGAAAACGTCTTTTTGGGCCATTTATTGTGTGTGTGTTTATATATATATGTGATCAATTGTGAATGGCTAAAAGGTTACGAATGCGCGAATTTAGATATATTCATTTCTGAATAATAGTCAGAAATAAAAGTGTATTCATTTCTGATTTATAGGTATTCATATTGTAAATGGATATATCTAAAATTCATTATATATTTACAATATAAACGAATACACTTCTATTTTCGACTTATATTCAGAAATGAATATATCTAAATTCGTGTATTCGCAACCTTTTATATATATATATATATATATATATATATATATATATATATATATATATATATATATATATATATATAAAGAGGTCTATTTATATACAAAAATGAAGCTTAAAAAATTATCAGAGTTAAAAAGATGAAATCAAAGACCAAATGTGAAAACTACCCTAAACCACAAAGGTCATTCATGTAATTTACTCAAAGTTATGTGATAATACATATTTAATATGGATAGTGATTTGTACACAACACTTTTTAGTCTTAAACAATAATTTATGTTTTAGATAGAGGTGACAATCGTGTTGTGCCGTGTCGGGTCGGGTTCGTGTCATGTCGAAACACTAAATAGGTTTAAAGTGTTTGACCCTAAGCCAACCCATTTAATTTACGTGTCGTATCGTGTGAACCCGCTTATTTTCATGTCGAGTTCGTTTTGGATTTCGTGTTAGAGATATACCTTGAAATATATCGTGTCATGTGAAATTGAAAGATTAAGCATATTGAAAAAGTAGGAGTTGAGTAGGCGGAAATGGAAAAGTAATAGTTTGGAGACGGAATAAATGAAATCATAGCAAATTCAAATGAAAAAAATGAAAGAGTATGAGTTGGAGAGGTGGAAGACAAGATCATGAGGATTAAAGAGTTATTAAAAAGACTATATAGTTTGGAAAAAAATGGAAAAACTGAAAATGAAGTTTTGATCTAGATGATTAAATCTTTTCAACATTACAAAATAACTCAATCCAAATAACTTATTTTACTTATTGTTTTAGTTTTGTATCTTGCTATTTTGTTTACAGAATTCAAAATACTTGCATATAAATAAACGAGTCATTTTCGAATCATATTCGAGTTGAAATTCTCAACCCTAACCTTACCCGTTTAGTTTTAGTGTCGTACTGTCTCAACCCATTTATTTAAACGAGTTGAAATATCTTACCCAAACCCGTTTATTTCGTATCATATCAATTTTTGTCACCTCTATTTTAGATGATTGTACTGTATAACTATATAAAACACAACTTATGTACTATTAAAAATAGCTGAGTAAGGATGATCACCCATTTAGTATAAAGTTACAACCTTATTAACATATTTACCTAATTTAACCACTAGGCTCCGCCATAGATCATGCACTTATGCACCTTTTTTCTATTTTTCTATACTAAAGACATATTTTTTTAGCAAATACGTAAAGACATTACATAAACACGAATAAAATTACATGAACACATCTACACAAAGTATTTGCATAATTTTATAAGAATTTACATAATTCATATTTATGTATCTTTATAATATTTAGTATAAAAATACATCTTTAATATTTTTACACGTTTTATTTACATATATAAACCGAGGGAAAAAAAAATACATATCTAGTATAAAAATGCATACTTCAAACCTTGGTTTGAAAAGTATGAAGCGCCCATAAGCCAAGGTGTGATGCGTTGCGTGCTCACACCTGACACGTCCAGTATTATCAAAGTACTTGTAATTTGATTCCACATAACATATTTTACCTTGTAAGCACTTATCTATGAAAATACTTTTACTTATAACCAAAGTATTTCCAAAAAACCATTTTATAAAAAAAGGTTGTTAAGCAAAAAACCATTAACAATGATGCAAACTATAATTATTGGGACGTGCTACAAACAAACCAAGGAAATTTCAACTTCTTTTTCCTTAATTCTTCTTTGTTCTTCAATTTTCTTTTAACTCTAATTTTGAGTTTCTCATCAAACAATAATAAGCAATAAAAATACAAACAAACAAAAATTCATAAGGTTGGGCAATCATTTAATCAATTCTCTAATCAAAACAGCAAAAACCAACATTCTAGCAAAATCATAATAAAAATCAGAAACCAATCATGTATCACGCTGACAACAAATAACAACAAAGTAACATCAATTGTGCATTTGATAGATACTAGGATTGACATTATAGCCATTTGAAAAGAAGAGGAAGAAAAAAAACAAAAACTCAAACATGTTGAGAAGCAATTGCAAATATGAAAACAAAACAAAACAAAACAAAAAAACCAAAAACAAAAAAACAAAAAAACAAAAACAAAAACAAGGGCTTTAAGCTTTTAGTTTTTTACAATTAAAAATACAAACTCAGATTAAAGGAAATTAACTTCGTCCCGAATAAGCGTATAAAGTTTTTTATTTTAAACAAAAAGCCCACAATTTAAAACCCACTTCAAGGGCTTTAAGGAGGTTTTAGCTTTTAACTTGTATTTATATTTGGGCACTGCCTCATCAGTATTCCTAGTCAGCAAATATGCCATGTAAGCATTTGAATAAACATATGAATTGAAAGAAATGTCCCAAAAATAAAAGCCAATAAATAAAACCAAAACATGCCACAGTAAAAAGCTAATAGCTAAATGCAATTAAAGATAAAATGTCAGATTTGACACAAAATCTGCAAATCCAGTTTTGTGACATATAAATGCTTCCACAAATTCAAGCATGTTTTAGAAAAGTCAACCACAGCAGTTGTTACACTTTAAATTGCCTTTGTTGGGGATTAATGGCGGGGATTGAAGAGGATTGTGGATGGATTCAGAAGTACAGAGAACTTCGGAAGACAAAAGTTATGTAAAATCCAAACTACCATTGTAGAATAACTAGTCAAAACTCGACCTAAATAGAATACCCTCCATAAATCCCAAACAAATGCAATTGAAAATGTAATTCCACCCTTTCCCTTCAAGACTATTACTGGATGTTAAAGAAAACTTTCAATCAATCACAGTCAAACAGGCATAACCACGAAGATATCACAAAACGTGCTATGAATGTGTTATGGATTTCAGAAACTAATACAGTACTAGTAATCACAGAAGAGCTATTTACGAACAAGGAGCATCAAACCAAATGGAATTTGCTTACATGGAAAGTGCACTTCCAGCACCGCCGTGAACCACCCAGAACACGTCTCCAGCATCATCGGATTTTCCTGTATCAAGCGCAACAGCACCAAAAATGGCCCTAAAAGCACCACAGACAACTGAGGAAGTCGAAGAATTGGTATTCGAAGAGACCCTAACCACATTCTGCAACCCTAACCGCATTCCGTCAACAGCACACGACGTTTCCACTTTCGATATCTCCGAAACTCGATTATTCAGATCCTTCGACGATATGTCCACATCTTTAGTCAACAATCTGAGGGAAGCAGTTGTCTCGATGATGCTCTCACCTAGAATGCTTAAAGCTTTGTTGTTCTCTTCAGAGTAAGATGAGTGAGTCATCGCACGGCGCAGAAGCCCGATGTTCTGAAAATCATAACTGCAGAAAAACAGTTACTCACTGAAAGCAACAGATAATAGAAAAAACTCGAAGAACGCTACTACTTTGTGCTCTTCTTCTGATAACTTACTTCAGATGCTTCTGAAGAGTTTCAAGTGCAACGGAGAAGGATGACGACCTTAACGATTGCGATCGAGCTGAAACCTGGTAACGTACAATTTTTGAGAAGTTAGGGTTTTACTTTCGAGTTGAAGAGACGAAGTGAAAATTAACAGTGTAGTTTGTGAGAAAAAAAAAATAATAAATCGTACGGGTGTACAGGGTACCGGCATTGGAGAGCAGAAGACGGCGGCGATGAAGATCACGGGGAGCACTGGGAGGAGATGCATTTTGCCGATGAAATTTGGAGGTGTCGAATTTCAGCGGCGATCAAAAGCTAAATTTCTACAAAGGAGTGATTCAGGTGATAAGAAATAATATGAAAAAGAATAATAATAATAAGAAAAATTTGCAAATTTGGTCTATTGGTTTAAAAAAATTGACACTTTAGTCAAAAAGTTTTGGAGTCGCTGGTTTTAAAAAGTTTTCTTCAATACCTCTTCCCTCGTCAACCTCCATCTCCAAAATCGCTCATTGCTAACCCTAATCCATTAGGTGAACATTTTAGGCTTGAAAGTGTGCTTTCGGTGATCTTGAAGGAAGAAGAAAGAAGTTGAATCAACTTGGAAGCTCAAGGCATCTTGGATGCGGAAGTATCTTGCCCTCAAGCATCATTTGGAGGTATAAAGTTCGGATCTTGATGCATATTTGCTTTGGATCTTGCTAGTTCTTAGGTTTTTATGCTTTTAGTCCTATAATCTTAGTGTTCATGAGTATGGATTACTCTAACCTATAAGGGTTGTTCTTCCAGACGTTTTTAGGTGCTTAGAACCATAAAAAATATGATCTTGATCCCTTTCATTTCTTCATGCATGAGATATGAGGTTTTAGGTTGTGTATTAAGTTAGGGTTTAGTTGTGTGGACCTTTTAATAACCGATAATGAAGAACTGTACTACAATCAAGGAAATGATGTGTAACGTCCCAAGGCTAAAACCCAAAAATTCCATTTTTAATTTAATAAAACATTAATCCAAAACATCGTCATATAATAAAGAGAGACCAAAGTATATCACTACATCACAAAATATAAGAGTGAATGACAAAATGCATAACAGAGTGGTGTGTGATCTACAATCATCCCATACTCTTCCATTTTGAACCAGAAGTATCTGTCGGGCCCCGCCCGGTATACAAATATGTCAATCAATGGGCCCCGCCTATCATCGGGCCCCGCCCGGTATACAAATATGTCAATCAATGGGCCCCACGCCAATGAGTGTAACGGGCCCCACCCTAACTCACATAACTGGCCCCAAGGTTTTGAAAACTGGACCGGACATCGAACCGTTTATCTTACTGGGTCGATGGTTCAACTGGTTCGACCGGTCCTAAAAACCGGAGAAAACCGTATTTTGCATTACGTATTTGTAATATATTCTAGATAATGTAGTCTAATTAATTAAATATATGTAATCTGTGTGCAGTGTAAAAATAAATAATGTAAATATGTATGGATATTGTAAAAAAGGCACTAGTAAAGGAATATGGAAAAACTATACTAGTACTTATAACAAAACAAGTTAATCAAAACCCAAAAAAAGAATATTCATCTGTTATAATTATATAAGATATGGATGGTTTTTTTCATTTGTATTTTGATCCCATACCGGTAGGATTGAAGAAAATAGGAAGACTTGTAGCCAAATAAAATGGTTGGGGTTTAGTAACTTTATCCCATATCAATGGCACATTAAGAAATATAAAGTTTGATGTCCCTTATAAAGAGGGATCCATGCGCTTCTTCTTTAAAGTAAAGAGTAAAGATTTTCAATAAACCGGATATATATGTGGTTGAACCAGGCCGGTTTAACCCCGGTTTACAAAAAACCGGCGGTTTTTTACGGTTTGATTTACTAGCGGTTTTTGGAGTCTAAAAAACCGGTAACTAATCCGGTTCCCGGCTAGTCCGGTCCGGTTTTCAAAACAGTGACTGGCCCTGCCCAGTACCTACCGAGTATAACTGGCCTCGCCCAACATAAAAACATGCAAGTATAACAAGTAATAGTATACATAATAACCTTTGGGCCCCGCCCACTAAGCATACAGACACATATACATGCAAGAGTGACGCATACATCTAGCACACTAACATAATAAACCTTGGATCGACATTGGTTCCTTCGACCCGCTAAACATGATGACGAAGACTCACCTCAGACTGCTGAATCTCACAGATAAATCTTTGGCTACTGGTCCGACAATCCCCACGCTATCAGCATAAAATAACATCAAATTAATAGTTGGATCCCAACTCACACTAAGAGTCTAAACTAAGGTAAGAGACCATTTTACCCTTTACCTAACTTGGTCCAAGGCCAAAGCCCAAACCAACTACTCAAAGGTCCGATTCCAAAAATGGTCACCTAAAGCCCAAAATATGGCCCAATCTTCCAAACTGGACCCAAACCCCTTCGTGGGCCTTCAACCAAAAGGATCCATCATAATGACATCAGCCCATAGTAGAAATCTGATGGCATAACAAGGCCCTAATCTCCTAATGTCTAAATATAGGCCAAACCTGAGAAACCCAAAATTCGAAGCCTACCTGCTGAATACGAGAAGCGTACTCAACTTGTACGCTTAACATACTGCTTATGGGGCTAGTACGTCCAATGTATCAAGTTGGTACGCTAACGTACTCCCCTGTTGACCACCCCACTTCATTGAGCATTTAATTCATTGAGGCTTCAATCCAAACTCTTATATCTGATTTCTTAGGGTGACTTATCATGTAAAGTTGGAAAAGTTTACATACATGCATGTCTTAATGGGGCTCAATAGCTCAAAAGGACTTAACCAAGGTCTTAACACATGCATGGTCCAAGATTCATTATAAAGCTTGCATTTTTATGAATAAGGGGACCAAAAGAAGCCTAGATATAACACCATAACTTCTAGAGTGAGTCAAGGAGCTCATCAACCACTCCAAGGACTCAAAAAGCATAAAATAACAACATTACTAGATCTAGCATCATGGATCATCAAGATGTGATGTTTTTACCTCAAAAATCTTGCAAATGATCAGCTAACCCTAGATCTTCAAGCTCAAGACACTTATCCAGATGGTCCTCTTATTCGTCTCATTCACAAATCACCAACAAACACTCTTTAAGGCTCAAAACTCACAAACACACACTAGGGTTTTGATTTATGGACAAATGATGGTGGAGGCTGGCTAAACATGACCAAATGAGGCTATCTTCAGGATTAAATAGGGTGCAAACCCTAAAAATTAGGGTTTCACTCATGCCCGCGTACACCATGCGTACTCCACGTATGCCCCGCGTACTCCAACTTTCCTAAAGTTGGTAATTTTGCCCCCTAAGGACCAATTCTGCAAAACATTAACACAACAAGGGTCTAAACTGTAAACTACTTTGAATTGGGTGTTACATGATGTAAACAATGATCCAATTGAACCGATTGAATCGGATCATGAGTTTGAAAACATAGCGGAAGTATAAGATAATGAATAACCAATTCCAGTCAACAATATTGTTCAACAAGGAGTTGCAAACCAAAGGCCCTCAAGACCAAGAGTACCTCTAAAACGATTTCAAGATTATGAGCTTGATCTCGATAATCCGAAAAACTTCTCATAACAATCAATTTCAAGCCTATATTGGTTGAAGAGGCGAAGAAAGAACTGGAGTGGGTTAAAACCATGAATGCGAAAATCAATTCGATATACAAGAGTAATACTTGGACTCTTATGAACAAGCTTATGGGGGTGAAGCCAATCGGACTCAAATAGGTGTTAAAATTGAAGTAAAATGCAGACAGAACCATTAATAAATACAACGCAAGGTTGGTTGCTAAAGGTTATGTGCAGCAACCCAATGTCGATTTTCAAGAAGTAATTGCTCTGGTAGCTCGAATTGAAACCATCCGGTTTCTTATAGCCTTGGTTGCTACTAATGGGTGGGAGCTTCACCAATTAGATGTTAAAACGACATTCTTGTATGGAAAATTGAAGGAAACTATTTACGTATCGCAACCGAAAGTCTATATAAAGAAAGGCAACTAGCATAAAGTGTGTCGCCTTACAAAAACACTATATGGTTTAAGACAAACACCTCGAGCATGGAACACGAAGCTTGGCGGGATTTTGAAGAGTATGAAATTTCAAAAGTGCATGAAAGAACTATCGATGTACCAGAAAAATGAAGGAGCTAACTTGTTGGTTTAGCAATTTATGTTGAGGATTTATTTGTCACAGGTACAAATCTGAACATGATCAAACGGTTCAAATTAGAGATGTCCAAGAACTTTGACATGTCGGATCTCGGAAGAATAACTTACTACCTTGGAATTGAAGTTAAACAAGAAGAATTAGGGATTACTATAAACCAAGAAGCGTATGCTTAACGCATTCTAAAAGAAGCCGGTTCCACATTCCAATGGAACCGAGAAATAAATTGTTGAAGGCCGAAGATGAACTCGAAATGGACCCGACATAATATCTCAAGGTGTTAGGATGCCTTAGATATCTCTTGCAAACAAGACTTGATATAGCATATGTAGTTGGTTTTGTTAGCCGATACATGCAAAATCCAAGAGAATCACATGGTGGTGCAATCAAACACATCCTAAGGTATAGGGGTGACAATATGTTAGGTTGGGTCATAAACGGGCTGACCTTTTTGGATAAACAAGTTGAAAATGTCTACCCAACCCAACCTATTTATATAAACAGGTTGAAAATTTCAACCCAACCCAACATATGTAGTTAATGGGTTGCAATCGGGTTGACCTGATTAATGTCTTCCCAACCCAACCTGTTTAATAAATGGGTTGACCATGGGTTGACCCATTTATATTTCCAAAAAAAAAAAAACTTAAACATCAGTAAATCATTAAATCCATCAAACAAAATCACATAAAACTTAAAGGTTCAAAAGAAATTCAAAACAACACAACCATAACTCCATAACATAAACTTAAATCAAATGTTTAATTTCTAATTCTAAGCAACTTGACTCTCACTTTCACCAACTCGACTTCCACTTTCGGTATGATTTTCCTGTTCATCATCCATCTTCTCCATCATGATAGCATCACAAAGCTCCTCAAGTCGGGATTCCATTTTTGCTATACAATATATAAACTTAATGTTAATAATTAACTATAAAGAACATATAGTTGTAAATGATAACAATTAAAATGTATAAATAAGAAGTGAGAAGTGAAATCTAACCTTCTCCAGATACCCAATTTCTTAGGAAAATAATAGCCTCAGCTATAAAAGGAGCCAAAGAACTTCTATAAGCATCAAGTACCCTGCCACCTGTGCTGAATGCAGATTCTGATGCCACAATTGAGATAGGAATAAATAAGATGTCCCTAGCCATTCGAGCAATAGTTGGATATCGAATCCCATGAGTTCTCCAGTAATCCAAGATGTTGAAATTGTTAACTTGTGGCATGAGTTTCTCCTCTAAGTAACACTCGAGTTCAACTTTTACAGCTTGAGAAGTAACCTTGGTTGAAAATTTTATCAAAGTCCTAAAATAATCAAAATAATACATAACTACATAAGTATCATGAAATTACATTGTCATTGAATTGCCATTAAACATCAGGCATTAAAATAAAAAAAAAAAATATTTGGCACCAGAATGCATCAGACCTAATAGTAGAGTGGTAGTTAGCATTTGACATTGAAAAAACCACATGTAAACTTTTTTTACATCTGGCATTATTTAATTGAGATTTTAGACATTAAAAAACCATCACTTGCATTAGACATTAAGATTTTAGTGTAATTAGGAAACTTATCAAGAAATCAAGAAAACATTAGAATGATAGTTAGCAACTAGCAAGTTAGCATATTACATTAAAAAAAAACTAAAAAGATGAAATAGTAGATTAATAGTTAAGAACTTACCATCATCAGTGAAGAAGAAGCTCCATCGCTCGATGTAAGTCATCATGAAGTTCTTTTTGAGAGTCTGACATGCTCTTGGCTTGACCATTTTTGCTTTTATTCTAATTTGACTCATCCATATACTCATTGAACAACGGAAATAATTTCTCTTTTATTATTAACAACTCAGAGTTGCACCCGTCCCCATACACTTTCTCATATCCCCATTCAACCATTTAAAATTTGTATCGAGGATACAAAACAACTGTAATCGCCATAATTGTGCTAAGTTCAACCCAATACTTCTCAAATTTTGCATACATCCTTGTAGCCATATTTTTCATAAACCTATCATGGTTGTATTTTTCTTTGTGTAACAACACTCGAACCATCAAAACATTGGTAAAATAAAGATTAGTAGCAGGATACTTAGAACCAAAAAAAGCACATTTCACCTCATAGAAAACCTGTAAAAACTTGAAAATTCTTTCAATTTTACCCCATTCCTCACTTGTTGGACAATGTGAATAGTTAGCATCTGTCTTTTGCAAATGAATAAATGCCTTTTTGTAGTACAAAAAAGATTCTAACATCATATAGGTGGAGTTCCATTGAGTGAGAACATTTTGCTTTAGACCTTTAGATAATTGTAACTCTACATATGCAACAGTATCTTTAAACATTTTCTTCCTCAATTGAGATCCCTTATAGTACTTTACACTTTCTCTAACCTTTATGACAACATCATCTAACTCTTTCAAACCATCTTGCACAATTAGATTTAAAATGTGTGCACAACACCTCACATGAAAGTAAGCACCTTCCAAAAGCAAATAAATTTCAATTTTAAGAAAATCAGCCATCACATCATTGAAAGAAGCATTATCCAAACTCCAAGTAATTGAAGACACTTTTTTTTTAATTCCCTAATCCTTCAAAAGACTAAAAACATGATTACTCATAGCAAGATTGGTGTATGGTGGAGGCAAACAACTGAAATAAGGATTAGGTTTTGCAAGCACCAAGAACTATCAATGAAATGGTCTGTTAAAGATAGATAACCATCAGTGGTTATAGATGTCCAACAATCAGATGTTAAACATATTCTACCTAGGGTACAACTCAACAAATCTTTTATTTTTAACTTTTCAATCCCAAACATATTTTTGATATCATATTTGATTGTATTACTTTTAACAAGATTCACTTCATGATTTATATAAGTGAAACATCGTCTGATGCCCTCATATTCGACAAACTGAAATGGCAAATCATGCCTCACAATAACTTTAGCTAGGGATGAGCAAATGGACCGGAGAACCGGCCGGAACCGGTACCGGAACCGGAACCGGCACCGGAACCGAAACCCGATGGAACCGGTCGGGCCGGGACCGGGACGTTATTTTTGTGGATTTTTGGAACCGGAAACCGGAACCGATATAACTGGAACCGGTAGAACCGGCAAAAACCGGTAGAACCGGTAAAAACCGGAACCGTATTATACTATTTTTCAAAGGTCGGTTCCAACATTTGAAGACACGACAAGAATCGGTAGGAACCGGGAACCGGTAGAACCAGAATCGATAGAACCGCCGGGCCGGTTCGGTTCTTGATTTTGGCCGAAGCCGGTTCCCGGTTCCGGTCCGGTTCGGGCCGGTTCCAGCCGGTTCGATCCTCTTGCTCATCCCTAGCTTTAGCTAATAGTTCACGAAATGTAGAATGGTTAAAATCAGGAACCCTCTTAGTCAAAGAACTACTACTACCACCACCATCTAATCTCAGTTGGCCAACATCCTTAAATCGATTTTTTTTTATATGGTGTTTCAAATTTCTAGTACCCATTCTACTTTCAGCATTATAAACCTTACCAAACTTTTTACACTTACAGTAAGTTTCACCTTTTTCATCACGTTTGAGAAATTCATAATGGGGCTAGACATTTGATGTTAGTTTCCTAGGACGGTTGGCATCAACACTTGAGTTATTTGGCTTTACTTGTTTATTTTTCCTTGTCTTGTTTAGCTTTGGTGGCGGTGTAGAAGACTGAATATCATCATCTTCTGATATTTCCACTGTATTCATCATATAAAGAAAAAAAATTCAAATATTAGAAATTTAGATTGAACCAAAAAGTCTAATACTTAATACAATAATACATGACTGGCGATTGGTGAATGGTGATTCTGTTGCTAGGGTTCGATATCGGTTTGTAGCTAAGTTGTTATAAGGTGCAATTTCAAATAAATGAGGGTAAAAAATTATGGTTAGAAAAATCGAGTGTTTATCATGAGATTTGAGAATTGAGAAGGAAACGAAAATGACGGAAACTAGAAAAGTTATTGTCTACTTGTATTGCGCTTACATACATACGGGTTACAGAGGAGTATGATACGTGCGAAGATGTACGAGTTATAGAGGAGTATGATACGTGCGAAGATGAAAAGTCACCTGGTAATACTAAATAGCCAAAAATTTATTGGATGAATAAAATAATTAACAAATAAACCGTTAGACATTTAATAATCAATTAAAATAATAATAGTAAATTAATATATATTAAAAATTTTAAATGGGTTGACGGGTTGTAAACGGGTTAAGAATTCTAACTCTAGCCCAACCCATTTAATTAAATGGGTTAAACAGGTTGACTCGTTTATTTAAACGGGTTGAAAATCTTAACCCAAACTGTTTTTTATTGGGTTGGGTTAATGAGTTCGGGTTGGGATTGCCACCCCTACTAAGGTACTTACGAGGAACAACAAGACACGGAGTCAAGTACGAGAGGATGGGACAAAATCAACTCCTTGGATATAGTGATATTAGTCACAATGTTGACCCGAATGACTGAAAAAACAACCGGTCATATTTTCTACAATGGGTCATCCCCGATAACATGGTGTTCGTAAAAACAAGATACCGTTGCTTTATCATCTTGCGATGCGGAGTTTATGGCGGCCACTGCGACTGCATGTCAAACAATATGGTTTCAAGATTTGCTAGGAGAAATCATGGACAAACCGCAATAGAAGGTGCTTGTAACACATCAACACAAGTCGGCTATCAAACTAACGAATAATCCCATTTTTCATGGAAGGAGTAAACACATCAACACAAGTTTTCACTTCATTTGTAATTGTGTTGAAAATGAACAAGTGGAGGTGGAGTACATCCCCGATGAAGAGTAAAAGGCGCATATTCTTACAAAACCACTAGCTCGAACCAAGTTCAAGGAAATGTGGAACTTGATCGGGATCGAAGAAGTCTATAAAAGAACTTAGTGATTCGAGAGTGATTGTTGGAATCCTAAGTCGTGGATACCAAACACTTGGAGAACAGGCAATTGGATTATGGCAAGTCGGCCATATCTTTCCTTATTGTAATCTAATGCAAGTCGGTTATTAGATTCTATAAATACAATGTCTTGATCGAGTTAACGGTTAAGAAACACAGATTGTAATCGATAGGTTTTGAGATATTTTCCTATAATCAAAGAGTAGTTTGATTTATTTGTTTGCAATCTTTATTTTCTAAACGTAAATTTTCAGAATAAGGACGCAAATCCCCATAATGTTGTTGATTATGAAAAATATAAGAAAAAAAATAAACCAAAAATCTTATTAGATAATGATGCCTTATGGCTTTATCGATGTGTGTAAACTAAAAAAGGGGAATATAGACCTTGTAGTCATATTTTAATAAGGTTGGATCGACGAATTTAGAGAAGAACATGCCGGAAAAATCATGCAAAGTCTTTGATAAAAAAACAACTTAAAATCAAATGGGGACATTATGAAAAAAGAATGAAAGTTTTGTGACCGCTTAGAAATACATTTTGGCAAGGATCAATATTGGTTGGTATAAAACTGAATCCAACCCATACTAATCAGCTTTAGCTTTAAGAAACCACTATAAGTATCTTAATATTAACTAATGACTATCCATAATATATGTAAATGAGTTTGGCTAAACATTTTTATTTAAAATCAATAAAATCGAGTTGATTTATAAGAACCATCAATACAACCCAAGTTATATATCAATTGTCTTTCAACGAAAAAAAAATGGAAAATTAGTAGGCATTAATCCTAGGTAATCATGTATTTTATTTAGTTATGTTGAATAAGACATTTAAATGTATGATTTTTAGAATAAGTCACTTAAAATAAAAATCAGTTGAAACTTGAAAGTACTTTGAATGCAATTTTCATTTTGCAAATGTGAAGTTTAAGAAACTTAAAGGGTGAGTTGTGACAATTAAAGGAATTAACTATTAAGGAACAATGTACACGGACTCATATGCTAAAATCTCTCGATCGCCATTTTTTGTGCTTTTGATGCTGTCTCTCATATATGAAATTGGAGCATCCCAAATCCTCAGTCCCTAACCTTTCGCTGCCCGATTTCTCAACAGAATCGAAAGGGTTTCCATTACAGGTTCGCTTCTATCTCTCATGGGT